AGCTACTAAATTGATACATATTGCACAGGTATGGTAATCTTGTCAAATTGTTCAGAGTATAACAATTTGCCTCAAGTTGTTTTTGCTCCCTAGAATAGACAAATATTTAATAAAAGTTATAACATTCTATGCATAAATTTTAGATAATCACACGATGTTTGTGTAGATATATCAATGAATGATAATAGTTTGCAATTTTAGAAAATCTGCATACTAATTAGATGTAACTGTTATCAGATTTTTTTCTGTATCTTACTAATACAAAAAAAAAAGTTATATACAATACCCATAAACATCCCTGGACCAGAAAAATCTTTTATTGGGAGTGTCTTTATATTAGATTTGAATCAATCTGCTCAATTAATTTGCATAGTTAGCAAATAATAAACATGCAGGAGCATTCATTTCTCATGTGTATTTTCTGTTCAGATAGCAAATGGCTGATTTGTGTCCATATTTGACCCAAAATAGTCTAAAAAACCTACATTTTATGTGTGTAGAACATTGTCTCCAAGTTGTGCCGCCCATTCTGTTCAAACTTAGGATATGGGTAACAGCTGTTGGCATACCAAGGCACAACCATTATTTTTCAGATTTTTTTTAATTAAAATGGCTGATTGGTGGTCATTTCATTTTTCGAAAATATTTATTTGTTTATATTATAACTCTATGCAATATGGCTGACCAGCAGCCATTTTATTTCACAAAAAACAGCAATTTTCATTTTTGTGTGTGCACAATTCTGCTTATATCTCAAATTTACACTGTCCAATTTACGTCCAAAACTTTCAAAGACAATTATGTTGTAGAGTATCAATAAAGTTGATTCATGTCACAATCTAATCCAGGATGGATGACTGTCGGCCATTTTGTTTGACGAAAATCAATTTTGCTTTTATCTCAAATTCAAGCTGTCCAATTAGATCAAAACTTTGTTCACAGACAGTTGTGTTCTAGCACATCAACAAAAGTTGATCTGTGTTGCGAGTCAATCCAAGATGGCCTGAAAGCAGCCTTTTGGTTTTAAATTAGGACTCGCACATTTGCTGGCAGTCCATTTTGTTTACAGCTTAGAAATGGTACATGCACTTGCACAAAAAATAGCATATAAATACTGACATTTCATGTGTCATATATTAAAATTAAAACAGAGGAGGTTGTGAGCTTCACAATGGCTTGTTTTATTATAAAGTCTCTTTTTTTAATACTGCAAAATACTTTATTTTAGCTGGAATTAATTTTCGCTGAAAACAATTTTTGGTTGTTTTATATGGAATTTATTTTCACTGATTTTTGATGAGTTGAATGTAAATTATAGGAAAAAAAAGGTATATTCACTGGATTTTATTTTCACTGAATCATTCCTTGAGTGAAAATAGCGAAAATTAATTCCAAGCGAAATTAAAGTATTTTACAGTACATGATATAATATGCGTTCATCAAGTTAAGTACCCCGGTAGTGCATATCATGTTACATGCTATCTGTATATCCATCATATTATAGTTTCTATAGACAATCCAATACTGAGCTGCTTATGATCAATCATTTTTTTTAAATATTGTTTTGTTTGTTTTTTGTACTAGGCAACAGTTCTTAACATTGAATGTCACTGTTGTTTCTCCTTTTCGAGAAAATTATCGTTTTAAATACATATCCTTGTATTGCAAATATTTCTGCTGCTTTATTTTAAATATTGATAATGATCCCACTTTCCAGCATGTGAAAAATTGTTGTTCAATATGAATTGTTTTTGCAGCTAAAGCTTTAGGGATTATAGCTCAAAATTGCAACGACAAATGTTTTGTGTTGTGTGATGGGATTCTCTTTTAGTTTCCCGATACAGCACTTCTCCATCCAATGTAAACAAAGAAACATGTTTAAATGTAACGTCAATAACGTTTCAATGTTGGTGACATAGTTTACTTCTTATAAAGATAAATTTTAACGAGTACTGATACGTTTTGGAACAAGTACTGATACAGATTTTTTTACAAAACGACAAATTCCATCATTTTGTGGTTAGATGTACATTTTATTTTAATTGTACTATATATACTTTTTTTATTATTTTGTATTATTATTACTACATATATCTAACTATCACCACATGTCTTACAGGTTTTCGCGATTATGAAACTTTTAAAAAATCTGCCAGCAAATAAATAATATTAAAATTCAAATAGCATTTATTAAAGTATATGAAAAATAGATAATACATATATTTGTAAAAATGAGAAAAAGAGCAAAACTAGGATATAATTCTTATCAGATTGATACCAACAATCATTTGAGGGGTGATTATTTTCACTCAAAATGTATCAATGAGAATGACTATATAAAATCATGTAAAGCAAATTTGCTTCCATACATACATGTGCTGTTTGCAGACAAAATAATTTAATAGTATTGCATTCATATTTCAATATGTATGTGTGTAAGTCATTTACTATATTTATGTCAGTGTAAAATAATATAGAATGCATTATTTAATTTTATTCAACATATCATGACATGATAACAACACTGCATAACAACTCCATAGCATAACATAATGAAAGTGCAGTATAAAAAAAATGTACAGTATAACATGGTCAAGGGGAATTACGAGACAAATCCATCAAATAACATGCTGAAAATGCATCATAAGACTAATCCACAGCATAACATTATGAATGCGCATCATAAGACTAATCCACATATAACATGATGAATGTGCATCATAAGACAAATCCACAGCATAACATAATGAAAGGGCATCATAAGACAAATCCACAGCATATAACATGATGAATGTGCATAATTAGACAAATCCGCAGCATAACATGATGAAAGGGCATCATAAGACAAATCCACAGTATATAACATGATGAATGTGCATAATTAGACAAATCCGCAGCATAACATGATGAAAGGGCATCATAAGACAAGTCCACAGCATATAACATGATGAATGTGCATGATTAGACAAATCCACAGCATAACATGATGAAAACGCATCATAAGACAAATCCACAGCATATAACATGATGAAACACATCATAAGACTAATCTACAGCATAATAAGATGAATGCACATCATAAGACAAATCCACAGCATATAACATGATGAATGTGCATAATTAGACAAATCGGCAGCATAGCATGATGAAAACGCATCATAAGACTAATCTACAGCATATAACATGATGAATGTGCATAATTAGACAAATCGGCAGCATATAACTTGATGAATGTGCATAATTAGACAAATCGGCAGCATAGCATGATGAAAACGCATCATAAGACTAATCTACAGCATAACAAGATGAATGAACATCATAAGACAAATCCACAGCATATAACATGATGAATGTGCATAATTAGACAAATCGGCAGCATATAACTTGATGAATGTGCATAATTAGACAAATCTACAGCATAATAAGATGAATGCACATCATAAGACAAATCCACAGCATATAACATGATGAATGTGCATAATTAGACAAATCGGCAGCATAGCATGATGAAAACGCATCATAAGACTAATCTACAGCATAACATGATGAATGAACATCATAAGACAAATCCACAGCATATAACATGATGAATGTGCATAATTAGACAAATCGGCAGCATATAACTTGATGAATGTGCATAATTAGACAAATCGGCAGCATAGCATGATGAATGTGCATAATAAGACTAATCTACAGCATAACAAAATGAATGAACATCATAAGACAAATCCACAGCATATAACTTGATGAATGTGCATAATTAGACAAATCCGCAGCATAACATGGTGAAAGTTGGATTACATAGATTAATTCTTTGACCTAATACTGTGATTCGAAATCTACTTGGTGTGGAACCTTTAAACACATCATTCCATAAACCTGTGACGTGAGGGAAGTGCGAGAAAAGCTGCAGACCAAAGTTGTGACAATGGTTATAACAGAATCACAGCCCTGGGTCTTTCATTGTATAACCATCCGCTATTCAGAGACCCTACTCATATATATATGATAGAAATCAAGAGCAATATCATAACATAACAATCAGTATACGGTACTTTATTATAACATAAAGAAATTACAATTTAAAGTGAAGTTTAGGCCAAACAAAAAAATTAATATGTTTAAATTTAAAATGGTCATAACACATTTGGGAGGGGGCAAATTATTTATGCAAATTATTTATATTAAATACAAAAAATACTGATTTTCACAGTAACATTTCACAATACTGAACCATTTCTGTGTATACCACATGACCAGAATTTTTTTCCAGCCTTTCTCTCTTATCTACATGTACCTATTATAAATAGATGAATAATTAACTGTGAAATTATATCAACTGATAGTATCTTGTTTTCTTCAGCAAGTCAGTATTTGTTGCCAAATGTCATTGAAGAAATATATTTTAGTCCGAAAATGAAAGAATTCAATTTGCCTAGGAATTCAACCATTATATTAAAATGTATAAAATATTCCTAAATTTAGAGTTGAGTTTAGTGATAAATATCAAAGAAATGAACATAACTCACATCGGACCTTTATAAGTATATACAGCTTACAATTTTAATATCACATTTGCTCTTCCATCTGATATCCCACATTTTTTTTTTTTAAGAAATGTCAATATACAAAACCATTCAATAAATTTTCATAATTGCCCAAGTAATGAGTCCTGGAAATTTGGACTCAAATTAAAAAGTTACTGGTCTCTCTATTCTGATACACGTGTGATCAAGCTTCGTTATTTGTTCGGCTTTTGCCATTTTTGATTTATTGAGCCCGTGTGCAAAATTGTTTTGCTTGTTGTCCACGTGTTATAAATCATTGATGAATAACTAGGTTGACAGTTGTTTGGTTCAATGAATAATTTGTATTAGCGATATTCAACAAAAAATTAACTCTGTCACCTTTGGAAAATCAGTCAGTATAGTCTTGAGACATTTTTTAAACTCTCGTCAGCATATATATATATATTTATGTATGACTTTCATAATTATCAATTAAATTCTTGTTTCTCTGTTTTGTTTCAATGGTTGCCACACAACAGGTTCTCTTTTTAGACTCCATCTTTTGATTATTCTTGGATCATAGTCACTTTCACTTTCACTGTCATCAAACCTGTTATGATTATCTTGGTTTGCATAGAGATCTTTTGCTGAACATCTTGGCGTGTGCACAGAATAGGTTTTGTGAAACCTGTCCATGTCAATATCAAAGTTTTCTCCGTTGAAGTGTAGAACTTCCTCAAAACGATGTCCCCAGCGTATTTCATCGTTGATATAAGATGTACGTGCCTGAGTCGTGGTGCCTGTGGCTTCCACAATGCCTTCCAGGATGACAATAATCTCAAAACTTGAATTTTCCATGATCTCTTTCGATACTTCATGCAGTGGGCTTTTGGAATCAATAATATGTGTCACTGTGTAGGGCCAGACGAGAAATACTCTATCCAAACCTGTGCTGTGACCCACGTCCATGTCGTACATCTTAAGCGGCAATACCTCACCTTCCTCTGTCACATGATGCTTCAACAGTAACAGACGCACATGCCCTTCCACGATTTGACTTCTTCGCAGATCCGCTATCCTAAACATGAAGCAGACATTCCCTTCTCTTTCTGAAATTATCGCTGTCTTGCTGAAGATAAGCGTTGATGCACGAAGCTTCGGTCGTGATATTTTCGCCAAGAAACTGCTTATAATAAAAGCTTCAAAGAAATTAGCAAATATAACTTGGAAGAGAGCTAACAAGATGGCTTCTTCGCAGTGTTCCGTGGGTGATCGGTAACCATACCCAATTGTCGTTTGAGTTTCCATTGAATACAAGAAGGCTGATTTGAAATTGATGAAGTTTCGGAAGCATGGTTTCCAGTTTACGTCGTCAATGTGCTTGAAATCACCCCTCCATATTGCAATGAGGTAGTATAGAATTCCGAAAATCAACCAGCTTAACAGGAAGACACCACTGACCATGAGTAGATTGTACCTCCACGGCATATCTACCGACGTGGTAAACATATCGTACAAATAACGCCAGTTTGTACGGTTGTACTCTTTTAAAAACGATGGCTGACACTTCCCATCTTTGTCCATACAGCGCCTCCTGACTGGCCAGTGATGTGTCTTCATGGTAGTACCATTGTTTTTCAGTTTTGGAGTACCGATTGGTGTTACTCCAACCAGTGTTGCCGATTCCCTGAGATCCAAGTGATTGCATTTAACTTGTAAGTCACTCTTACTAGATGTATTTGTCATATTTACTAGTCAATACGCCTCACACCTGAAAAAAATAAATGAATAAATTTTACAAATAAATTTCTATAAAATAAAAACAATTAATTTGTTGTATCTATCAACTGAACCATATATTTAAATGTTGATTTCCGGCAAAACTGTGTTACTGCGAATTAAAAATAGCTTCTTTTTTTTAAATTAGGCGGTAAATGCTCTTTTAACAGAATTTTATGGTTCATTTGAATTTTATTCCAAGGTAACAGCCGGCTAATTAATATACAAACTAGGAAGTATGCAGAATTCTGAAAAATAAAAATAGACTTTTGTATTTTGTATATTTGTGGGTTGGTTAGAGGGCGGTTTACATTATGCAGTTTTATTGTACATCTGCAACTAATTGTACACTCACCAGTAGGTATCACACTGTTTTTATTTCATCAAAGTGACATATAAATATTTCAAATTTAAAAAAATAATGTTTTGATCATAAGTAAATTTGCTCATTCCATTCAGTTTTAGACTCGCATTTATTGCTTTTAAAATTGGGAGGTCTGTTTGATTATTTCAAAAATCTATTTTTATTTTTATATTGGCATCAAACTATGACTGAGAAAGTTTAAATTTGCTGATTCAGTGACCACAGGGTAAAGAAATAATATTAAATACTATGGTATACGTTCTTTTAGCTAGAATTAATCTTTGCTGAAAAGACTTTTTGGGTGTTTTGTATGGAAGTTTTATTTTCACTGATTTTTACAAGATCAATGTAAAATATAGGAAAAAAGGTATTTTCGCTAGATTTTATTTTCACTAAATTTTTCCTTTAGCGAAAATAAGCAAAAATTTATTCCAAGCGAAAATAAAAAAGTTAGGGAATAATTTGTTCCATAAGATTTTTTTTATATATCTATACCGGGGTATATTGTTTTCCAATTCTCAGCTGTTCTAATTTTGTTGTACGTCAGTGTTCTTTGTTTTGACTTATTGTGTGGGTATAGAATGCTTCTGGCAATAAAATATTATTTAAATAAAAAAAATGAACAATGTTTTAAAACGATCTGCAATGCCCATGGCAATGATTTCCCAAGGTACTTTTAATTTAAAAAGCATTGTTCCTTGGATTGCACTACTTGCATATTTGGAGTTGACACAAATAACATAGACCTCGGCAATAACAAAAATTTTCACACGTTCAGAATCGAAAGCTACATCTGGCTGGTGTGAGAGTTATTCTGTTCCATGAAAATAACCTATTTTTGGAATGTATGGCTCTTTTGTATACTGTAAAGTACTTTATTTTAGCTGGAATTAATTTTCGCTGAAAAGATTTTGTGGGTGTTTTGTATGAAATTTATTTTCACTGATTTTTGACAAGCTGAATGTGAATTATAGAAAAAAAAAATTGATTCGCTGGATTTTATTTTCACTGAATCATTCTTTCAGCGAAAATAGCGAAAAATTAATCCCAAGCGAAAATAAAGTATTCTACAGTATGGTGTGTTGATTCTTAATACCGTTGATACGTCATATGTGAGCGCTTTTACGGTGGTGTATAGGTAAAATACAGAATAGTTGTAAAGTGCGCACGATGGGGATATTTTGGTTGATTACTTCACTTTGCAAGTTATTACTGAAGCCCATGTCAGTTCTGTTCCAAAGTACTTAGAATTAAAAAAAATCATTTCGAAATTGTATTTGTTTATGACTGTAAAACCGTGTTGTTTTCAAGTTTTTCGTTCCTTAATAAATGACCTTGGCGGCATTCAAACACATCGCTGAAACAAAAAAAATTAACACTTCCAAAGAAACCAAATTGTGTTCAAATGTGATACAAACGCATTAAAGTATGTTACGAAAACCTTTCTTATTTGCGTCATATGTACATCACATTTGAACTCTTTTCTTTGTTTACGTCCTAAGCAACAACAATGTAGCGTGTGACAGAAATAAATTCATCTCACTGAACTTAAATGCGCACACAGACATTTGATGGCAAAAGTGGTGTCCGATGTGTTTTTGCTGCTATATGTATTGTTCTAAATTATAACAAACAGGAAGAAAATAGTACAATAAGGTGGGCACAAGAATACCATAAAGTAAACACTCAGTCAACATGGGATAGCATCGTTTCATGTATCTATCAACCATTCTGCCTCTATGCATAGTTTTTGTAATAACCTAATAATATTTATTAATGAAGTCATGACACATAATACGAGTCATTGCACATTTTCTAATTGGTTAATTAAAATTCTTTTTTCATGACAAATTTGAATTTTTGATAAGATAAATTCCTAAAAATAAGAAAAGGAATCTTAATCAACGCACATTTCTTAACATTGTTTATAATTTAATTTCGCATTGATCGGCAAATTCCATGTTTTTTATGTTCTAAAAGTGTGACGTCGTTGTTGTCTATTCTTCTGACAGGTGACTGCTGCACATAATGTCCATTCATAGCAAGCAATGTATTTTGAATTTTGAATCATTCTGTGAAATAGCAGCCGTTATATTAAACCGAATACAAGCTTTATACTTGTATCTTTCTTATTGCACATCCATATTGTGTAGCAGGCACCGAGGAAATAATATAAATATTTAATACTGTGGAATACTTTATTTTCGCTGGAATTAATTTTCGCTGAAAAGGCTTTTTGGGCGTTTTGCTTGGAATTTATTTTCACTGATTTTTCATGAGTTTAATGTGGTATATAGGAAAAAAAGTATATTCACTGGATTTTATTTTCACGGAATCATCCCTTCAGCGAAAATAGCGAAAATAAATTCCAAGCGAAAATAAAGTATTCTACAGTAACTTGCAATGCCAGTCAACCATTATTTTCTTTAGGTTTTCTCATCTTTTAATATGTAATATATTATTTGAAAATTTTTATTGAATGATTAAAAAAAAAATATACATACCATTTGCTCAAGATACAGATGATACAATCCTAGAAAACTAAACGTGAAGTTCCCAAGGAAAGTGTTTTACTTTTAACCAATGTACGTTTCTCCAAAACTGGTTGTAGTAAACTCCAGGAATGCGCCCAAGGTGTATTAAACCAATAAATTACAACCCGTAAATATGCGTAGTTGTATCAAATCCTACTCAGTGTGTTCTAAAACTTTACGATAATATTTTCTCACAAAACATGTAGCAGTAAACACTTTGAAGGAGGTGTTCACGGTGTTGACCGACAAAATACAATCCTCCGAAGCGGGAAGTATCGAACACTGCAGTAACGTGTTACAGAATACCAACATCAAAAGTGTGTACTACTGATACTACCCAACTCTGTGATGATGACGAATAAGGCTATTTTGTTCCAATTAATCAGGACTACTCCATATGCAACTTCAACAGAGGGGTGGCAGGCTTTCCACACTATTATTACTTGTTCACACCTGGAGTATTTCTGAAATTGTGATTAATTGTGGAGCTCATTAAGCTAGTCCATTAATGCAATTACTAAAAAAGTAATGAGTCATTGGGCCAAGCAACATTGTTTAACGACTATTGTCAACTGCCGCATTTTGTTTTCTGAAATAAATATGAATGATCACAGCAGTTTTATACATTTCTAAAATTGTAATGACAAAAAAAATTGATTATTAACAGCACCCTGTTTCCTGTGTTACTAGCCTGTATATGGGCATTGTGAAAATTGAAAATTATTTTGTTTCTCAACTTTTACACAGCATTTGTGATGACAATGGACCACAGTCTGAAGGGGATTCAAATATTGACAGTTATTGATTGCATTTGCTTTGAAAATTGTATTTTTGAAGTTGTATAGTTACCAATTTACTGTTTAAGTATGTGTATTTAAAATTTGAATATTGATTCTCATTATATTGTATTAATGAAACTAACTAAGAGCTTGAGAAAAGTGACAGCATACTTAGATACATGAACCTTGTAAATTATTTTGGAAATTGACACAGCAGATAACAGTTATAATGTGGTAACAAAGAAAATGGTTACAGGTAGAAACAAAATTTTATTGAAATTTTTAATGTTTAGAATATTAAAGTAACAATTTTGGAAAAAGTTCCACCCCTAAACCTAAATTTAACCTTTACTTCCAGCCCCCAATTCAATTGTATTTGCTTCCTCTAGAAAACTATAAGTGTGTTTAGGAGAGGCCCATACAATTAAATTGGGGGTGGGTGGATGTAGGGTTAAAGTAACAGTCAGGGGTGGGGGTACAATAGGAACTCTTTCCACATTTTAGATTTAGATTTAGATTTTTTTCACTTTAATATCGCCAAATATTGGTCAATGCGATCACTTTACTGCCAGAGTTTATACTTTGTGGTATTCTTGTAATAACATGTACATCTTGCTTGCTTGTAGTCATATTTAATTAGTAAGATGATTAACCTGAAATGACAGTGAAAAAACAGGTGTTCATGTGTGCTTTCACAAGAATCTGTTTGTGCTGCATTGCTACTGCATGTGATGTGAAAGAAAGTGTTCCATTTTGAACACATATGTTTGTACAAAATTCTTTTTTTCTTATTTTTTTTACCAAATGCAGATCAATGGCTTCTATTGTTCTATTTATGTAAATTTTAGGCACCCCTCCCATACATATACATAAATTGTGAAATATTATCCCGAAGTAATAACACTAAATTTTCCTAGCCCCCTGCAATTTGAAATGGTTTGCTCCTAACATGGATCTGTGGAAGTGATGACAGTAAATATTGTAAGCTTTCTGTATTTTGTAAGCTTTTCAACAGAATGATATCACCTTATGACCAGCATATTCAATTAGAGGTTCCACAGCTATATATCTCTTGAGTAGCAAGATATTGATTAAATATATTTGAAATAACAACAATATTGTTCCAAAAATTTGACCTGTTTATTGAAAATTTGAAAAGTAATTCTTTTAATCACACTTTGAAAATCATTTTCTGTCTGCTGAAAGTATTTTATAAAGACTATTTTTACAACTTCTTCATTTAAAAAAAATGTTTATTTAATTAATTTCATGAAAATATTACCCACCCAATTAATGCTAGAATGAATTTAAAAGTTGAATGAAATTGAAATTTCCATCCTTGTTTGCTTCTTCCTGAAACTTATCAAAATTGCTAAACTTGGTTGTTGATACCAAATAAATTGTGTACCAGTTACCTATTTTTTTTTTTAGAATACATTTATTTATCTAACTAGAGTTATTTATTTCAGAAATTTTATGTTTTCCTTCACCTGTTTTTGTAGTGTCAACAAGTGGTTTCGCAACCTTTGACCTTATGCAAATCCATAAGTCAAAGGTCCTTGCCTCCCATGCTGCTTTGCGATCTGATCAAGGACAGCCATTTTAAACCATGTGCTCGCAGTTGGAAGTGCGCTGTTTTCACGACACGAATTTTCATTGCATTTCAAGCCTAATATTTTCAATTGCTGTTAATATCTACGGTTTTAAGGTTTGTACTAATTTTCTTACTGTGTTTGTTTTCCATTTTGATGAACTATGCAGTTTGAAAGACGAAATTTTGCCACGTGTCAGAAAGATGAATGTCTTCTTCAGACCCGAGTTAAATGAAGTTGTTGCCGGCTTATTGACACTGTTTTATTCGTTGACAAAAGTTCAAACTCGCAATGTATGTACTAAAGATCATAACCATTTTTTCGGCCGAGGATTTCAATATAAATAACTACCATTAACTTCTCAGTGCATTGTGCTAGGTTCTGTGTCGCGTAACACGTGGCTAGATTGTATTTTTAGGGGACGACGAAAATTACTGCGTTTTTCAGGCCGTAAACGTCTTCCATCGACAAATGTCTGACTTTCATGACTCAATCATAATTTATCTGCGATTTCCAGGGGTTCTATATTTTCAAATTCTTGTATAATTGTCCAGCTTTTATCATGAAGGCGCGACAATGTCATATAAATTTTTATTGGATAATTAGTCTAATAAAAATCAAATGAAATGTTGGCATCACTAACTCTTATTATACAGTTTTTTCTTCGATATTATCATCTAATAAAGTCGAAGTTAGACACCCATGTTTGGGCAACTATTGGGAAGATAGTTTTTCTCCAATATTAGCGGATAATAATGAAATGTTCGCAGAGATGTCTAACTTGGACATTATTAGACGAGAATATCAGAAAAACGAACTGCCCCAATAGTTACCCAAAGAGGAGATGTCTATCTTAGATATTTTTAGACGATAATTTGATAACATTAAAAAGTACACCTTTTTCACTTCTTTACTTGGTGGGTGTGGTTGGCCGCTGTATCCATGTTGTGCCTTTCAGTTTATTGATATTGTCTATATGCCATTAGTTGGGCTGCTATGACGAAGACCTCTTCATTGTGTGGTTGTAATCATTGTGATATCAGTGATGAAAAAAAGTTATCCCTGTCTGAAAATATATTCATATTGCTGTTGAAACTGCACGTCAGACTGAGGTATCACATTCATGTTCCCATGAATATATTTTGTTTTGCCGATTACAAGTCGTTAATTTCAATGCCATTTTTTTCTTTAATTTATTATAGTTATAATTGAACCGCCAACACTATATTCATCTACAACTTCACTCAACTGTTAATGAAAGATGCCAAAAGTGAAGACTGAAAAGAAATCGCGTACCCACAAACAATTCCAGCAAGGTGTTCAGTTCAAAAGGGACCTTGGCCAGCATATTTTGAAAAACCCACTGGTTGTTGATGGGATCATTGAAAAAGCAGCTTTGCGCAACACTGATGTGGCATTAGAAGTTGGTCCTGGTACGGGTAACATGACAGTAAAATTGCTGGACAAAGTAAAGAAAGTCGTAGCATGCGAGTTGGATCCAAGACTGGCTGCCGAGGTGCAGAAAAGAGTGCAGGGCACACCATCGCAGACAAAACTACAATTGATCATTGGTGATGTCTTGAAATCCGACCTACCGTTCTTTGACGTCTGTGTAGCTAATTTGCCGTACCAAATTTCATCTCCCTTTGTATTCAAACTGCTACTACATCGTCCCTTCTTCAGGTGTGCAGTGTTGATGTTTCAACGCGAGTTTGCTCAGCGTCTGGTCGCCAAACCTGGTGATAAACTGTACTGCAGATTGTCAATCAACACCCAGTTACTGGCCAGAGTTGACTTGGTTATGAAAGTTGGCAAAAATAATTTTCGCCCACCACCTAAAGTAGAATCTAGCGTAGTGAGACTAGAGCCGAGAAATCCCCCACCGCCGATAAACTTCCAGGAATGGGATGGTTTGGTGAGAATAGCCTTTACAAGAAAAAACAAAACATTGAGTGCTGCTTTCAAACATAATTCAGTTTTGGAAATGCTGGAAAAAAATTACAGGATACATTGTTCAGTGAAAAATATCACCGTAGCGACAGATTTCAGTATTAAAGATAAACTGGAGAAGATACTGTTGGACAATGAATTCAGCAAAATGAGGGCAAGAACCATGGATATTGATGATTTTCTGAAACTATTGCATTGTATGAACTCAGAAGGAATTCACTTTGCATAAATGAGAAAATGAACTTGAAAATATCCAGATCAACCTTGTTTGAACTTAACAATAACACTTTGCAGTGCTATGCAAGTTCTACAATTAGATTGTTGCGAAACAAGTTTGTAATCTGTCAACTATTTGTTGTAATGACTAGGCTTAACATACCATATTTCAATTTGTACCAGTTTTGTGATTGAAATCAATTCGAGATTTGACGACTAAATTATAATACATTGAAAAAATGTTTCGTCTCTATTCCATTGAACCTTTCATTGGCTGTAATTTATCCCATCACAGAATCAAAACCAGACACTCCTGGGATGTGAAATGGAGATTTAATTCTGTATTACAGGTATGTATTTAGTAAGTTTGCTTGACAAGGTGTTAGTATTTAGGGTTTAGTCCTTGGAGTTGAATGACATATTTTTAGTTAGAATGATCCTGGTCATGTATAACAAACTTTATATGCAAGACTATATTATATGCATTAATAAACTTCTTGGCTGTGGCTAACCACAAACTTGGGAGAAATTAACGCAATTGAGTAATCCCATTTCAAAATATTGTTGCATCAACAAAATTGTTTTATTGTATAGAAATATGGGCATTTCAGGGCAATGTTCCGTGTATAATTGCAATATGGCACCCCCCCCCCCAATAATTCCATAAAAACAGTACAGCTGAACATGTGATGCTATCCCGTTATGGCATACCTGTAGTAGTTTGAATGTTTGATGTATGCAAAGTAGCTTTACTCTTCTGCTTTCAGTGTGATATCGGTGATGAAACAAAAGTTATCCCTGTCTGAAAACCTTAGGATTGTTGAGACAGCACGTCAGACTGAGATATCACTTTATGCCAGCTGTAGCAAGTTTGTGATTATCAGGCTCACTTTTGTAATAGACATTTGTTTATTTGCAGCATGCCAGTATTTGAGCCAAAGATGTGAATATGGAAAACTGCATTGTCAGGTGGGTCAGCAAGGTAGTTGAAATTTCATTGTGGCCGTCTTCACCAAGTTCAAGTTTGTTGCGTCAAATGCATTGTTTGGTGAACCTGATTTTAATGTAACCACAGCCACCTCCATGAACTCGTTGATCTTGGTGAAATGTGTGGAGGTTATAGTTTTGGTATTTAGCAACACTGCCTTGAATATTACCATCCTTGCTTTTATGGTGCTTAAACTAAATCTTTTCCCAGTTAATTGATTGAAATTTTCGGATCTTGAATGTATGCCTTGGTTGCCATGATCATGGAAGGTACTAACAAAAGGAGCCACAACGCTATTTTAGCTTTACCCCATGATCGTTTGTCAATGTTTGTTCACAAACATTGGTTTTCGTTAGCTCTTAACACCTTCGTACAATGGGTTGCGCTAATCTCGAGCATTCAGTAATATTCGGGGCATGTTCGGAAGCGATAGACGAACCTCGTATGTACAATACTGAAAATGGTGTCTAGTTTGAATGCTGTTTCCCGAGATTTTGGCGAACTTTAATGAAAAATTGGCAGATATAACATTAAAGATACCATTGTTATTGCGTGGGTTTGACGCCCGAAACTATTGAAATTTTTGACCACCGAGCATCGGCGAACACCACCAGAAAAGATAGTATCGAAAGAAGGGCATGCCTTGACACTTTCTGTGATAATATTTGGGAGTTTCGTTGTAGACACTCAAAATATTGTTCTTGTTACAGTTGCTAATAATTAAACCATGTGAAATACGTGAAGTCAAATGTTCATCTGTTGAATTTCCGGTTGTGAAATACGTATTTTGACCTTTCACACCTAAACAAACGGAGTACGCATGTGTGATGACCGTAGTTTCATAATGCGCATACATTTTATGGTCACATTTAAAAATCGGTAACTTGTGTCGTATTCCGCCAACTAGTTACTTGTGTAAACAATCACAAACTATCATCATCATCAACATCAAAGATGAGCTAGACAATGTCCTCATCAGGATTAACTTGGATTGAAACAAAAGAAAACAAGCCTGTAAAGAAGCTTAAGTGGCCACCTGAGAGGCGTCGTGGCTCCTTCAGTTAGTACCTTCCATGCCCTGATCAATTACTGCCCATACTCCCTCGTACTTGGATTGCACTCGTGTAATGTTAGACTAAATTATTACACTAACGATCAAATGAGAGATGCGTAAACACTTTTCAACGGGTCTGTAGATTTGATTATCTATTGCTTGTGCTTATTGAAACAAAAAAAAGCAGGATATCTGCTTGCCAAAGAGGGCGCACTTTAAAACATTTGTAGAACAGGATCTGCCAAGGAATTGGTTCACAGGCTATGGCCAAATGTACAGACTTGGCTGGTGAAGGTACAATAATATAAAAATGTAGTTGTCTGGTGCCATATTCTGGTTGGCAAATACTAAAATAGGAAATTTATTCTTTGTTGTGTTGTAGTCATTTGGCTAATGGTGTTGACAGTAGGACTGCAGCCTTGCAATTTCAAGTCGATGATGTTGATGAATTATAAAGTTGATAGGCCTGAATAATAATGAAGCCACTAGAGATCTACTGAGACTTGAACTGAAGATGTAAATGGCTGCCGAGATTTTTGAGTAAGGAGGCACAAAACTCGCCCCAAAAAAAATCCAGTTCTAATTATCGTTTAGTTATATAGGTCAGGGAAACTTGACACTGAAGAAAATAGAACACTGAGGGGCAGTCTTGTGCTAAACGAGACCATAAACTAGTATATTGCTAATGATTGTGAATGTATCAATTTGCAGGTTTATCCTGGTGTAATTGAAATCTTTGGCTGGTCCAAGGTAATTAAATTTATTTGCTAATTTAACTTGATTAACCAAAGCTGAATTTTGTCTTACACATGTGATAAAAATAGCTTTTCTATGATGTTGCTGTGCATAAACTTGTCTTCTTCATGTGCTCTGCAAAGTCAGTCGTTAGTTTGTAATACCATTGTAATTTGAATGCAAATATTTCATCATGTGATATCGGTGATGAAAATTAAGTTATCCCTGTCTGAAAACCTTAGGATTGTTGAGACAGCACGTCAGACTGAGATATCACAGCCCAGCTCAAGATCACCTGCAAAGGAGATCATTTCTGTAACTATCTACATGTATGTATAATTGTGAAATCACCATTTCTGTGATTTGATGTCTTTCAGAAAAAAAACCTGTGGTAATGCAGTCAATCTTGGCATGAACATGAAGGTATATAAAATGTCTACAATATCTCCTCCCCTCAACATTTTCCTACAAGTGACAACTGTTGTAAGCTTTGGATTCCTGGTGAATTAGAAATTTCTCAAATGATCACTTGTTAGATACCTGATACTGCTAGACTAATTTAGCAATTTTCAGTTACAAAAATATTAAATTTAGTTCCATCTGTGTTTAATTTTACAAATTGCTCATTTATGCAATTATGCTTTGAAGTCAACTGTTTCTCGTCACTTCTCTATTGACCTACTTACTCAATACTATAGACTGTGTATGCTACCCTGGGGTGCTCAGAAAATATGAATGTCATTGATGGTGCACTTAGGTTGCCAAGTAGTTATGGAAATACTGTATTTGCTCCATAAGCACAGTTTGCACACTGGATCATTAAAAATGGCTTTTCACCAGTCGCACATGTCATTTACACAAGTATTTGTGCAAATAGAGTACTGGGTAAATGAGGAGTGCAATTGGGAGTTGAATATAACTTATTCCATTGATCTGTTCAAGATAGGTTAGAGAACCAAGTCAGTGATGTAAAAAAATTATTTACAAGTTATCCAGAACTGAATTTAAATTGAGGACAATATTCCTTACTCATCTGAGACTTGGCTCATACTCTGAACTTGAATGCACCTTCCTAATTTAGAATGGGAATTATGATTTCAATATCTATTTCATTTCAGATGTTTTTGCAAGACCCAAGTGCTGCCATAGTTCTGGTGAGTTTGATTTTGTTATTGTTCAAAATACAAATTTTCAAATCTTGGGGAAATCTTTTGCATTTTTGTGTAAAAATAATAGTTGCATCAGTATTTGTAATGTGGTCCTTCATCATAAGTTGAAGACTAGGTAGTATTGGTGCATAAATAAAAACCAAGACTGCAACTGGAGATGTTCTATTATGGACAAACATCCTTACTTAATCTTGGGACATGTAATGTGTAATTAATCTTTTCAATGTATGTACTAAACATAAAAATGGAAGTTCAACATATTTATTATTTTTTCAGATGACACCCTGAGTAAACGCTTGTGTATACAGCTTGTGGCTGATAAACAAAGCCACATCACATGCCCAATTTCCAGGTAAGTTTCAGACTTCAGTATTTGGTATAAACTTTGATTCGGTTTGTCTTGAATGTATTCAAGTCTAAAAATGTTCTTAACTTTGACAATGCATGCAGTCTTATTGACATGTGGTATTGTAGTGAATGATGATGTCTTCTATTTCTGACACCTATTGTGAGTGTCTTTGATCACAGTGAACTGAATTATAGAACTGACACTACAAATACTAGCAAATCTCTGCACTGTAACTTAATAGTGCCTGACACCAATTGATGCATTGTTATGTTTTGTATTTCAGACTTGTCATCTTGATGCCTTGTGCAGAGCCTTGCTGAGATTTGGTGATTGTGCAGATAGACTTGGTAAACTTGGCTACAACTGAACATTTTCAGCTTAGGAGCATGTCTACTGATTTTTTTTTTTTTCAAGTACCAGTATAGCCAATAAAAAATTTTATAAAACGAGATTGTTTTAATACTTTTACAGAAAGTATTGCCATTGAATCACTGTACTGCAGTTTGAACTGATTAAAATCTGTGGAACATTCTTGCTTAGAAAATATTAAACCACAATGAAGCTTGCCATTTCAAACAAAAATGAAGATGTAATTATTCAACATAAACATTTCAGTATAAATCTTTGTCCCAAAACAGTTTTGGTATTAAAGCACTACAAGTTGCTATTGTTCCATATCAAAAAAACTATTGCATTTAACTGACCTAACAGCTTACCCACGAAACTTGCTTGTTACCAAGGAGCTGATCTGCAAATGCTCCTCAGACTTGGTTTTCCTTTACCAAAAAACCTCCTTGGAGAAAATGGTCCTTGGCTTGTTTCATTTAGAAAGCATGTTTGAATATAAAACAATGAGAATAGCAAATTTGACTCTGCATGAAGTAAAACAAAAAATGTAATGAACGTCTTGTGAATTTAGTAACATGAATAAATGACCATACTGAAGCAACCAGTTTATAGTAATTTCTTTCAACTGCCCATTTAAACAATCAACATTGTCAAATTTTACCCACCCAACTAGAGTACAGGTGTGACTTGCCTGTTAAGTTTGAATGTAATCATCTTGGTCAATTCATGAGAACAGACTGAAAAATGGGTGGCCATATCATAAAGGCAATCCTAGCTGGAAGTGGATTGCACAAAATATTCACATGGTATTCCTGTACAAGAAATGACCATTGCAATTGCTCTTGGCTTCTAATCTTTAGACCTAATGTGAAACTGTCAGATTAACAACACGACAGTCTGAGCAACTTGAGGTTTTTATATACTTGATTTTAGTACATAATGACCGCAAATCGAACAATAGCGGAGCAAGAATGCTATGCATACAAGATTGTTTAGATGATACAGATCGGTAAAAATGGGAGTGAAGTGAATTCTTATTGGCTATTTATTTAATCTTGAATAGGATAACAAATCAATTCAAGTAGTCATTCTATGATTAAATCTGAGGAACGTTTGTACCCAACATGAGCGTTACTGGTAATTGTATCCAAGAGGTTGACATGGGAGACTGACAATTGCCTATACTAACAGCAAAGCGATAAGAACCTCTCAAAGTTCAACATGACCATATCCTAGAATTTCTGTAATGCCATTTTGGTGTATCCGATAGTTGGGCATTACTATTTTGTAGCAAGATGTAATGTGGATGACTGCCAGAACACTTTGTGCCAGTGGTGTGAATACATGCAATCATGGCACATTCAATTTCTGTACTTTCAAAGTGATAACAACTACACTTTTATAATCGCATAAATTTTATTAAAAAATGTAGCATTTAATACAAGAGTGTAGAAATAAAACTCATCTTGGAATGATTCATCAAGGTTTTGTCAAATTCTGTAACCAAATTGAAAAAAAATATTGCTTTATTAAAACTGCTGTCAGTTGAAGCAGTTTGATTGACAAGGATAAACACCCCCAGGTGAACAAGGTATAAATTTGTACCGGCTATTTCAATTGATCTCTGGCGTATAAAAATATTTAGTCTACATCTTGAATTTAAAATTAGTATAATGTGCTATTAAATTTTAAGGAATATTTCAACCATTACAGCATAAGCTAATATAATACGAATGCTTCACAAAATAGAGATTTGGGTACTGTAGAAATAAGCTTATGCTTTGGATAGAAATGTTAAGGATGTGCTGTGCGACAGAATGCTGCAGACATAATTATACATGTTTGAAATGTCCATCACCATTTCCTCCCATGTATGATAACCAACTCTGCAACCCATTAGGTAAGAATGAAAAAGATTCTTCTGATTCATCCATGGTATCCACACTGTGTATGCTTTCTCCGATTGAAAGATGTTTGTCCAGTTTGACAGTGTCTTTTTGTTGAATAGCTGTATTTAGATTAATTTTTCTCGCAATAACTTTATAGTCGCCACCCTTGATTGATCCACCAAAATCTCTGTAATAAGCAATCCAGTTTTCTAAGAAGAAATAGTTGAGCTGACCATCAACCATACCGACAGCGCCTGAAAAATATTGTATTTTAAAAAGTACATGTACATTCAAATGACAAGAGAAATTTCTGAAAGGGAAATTTTTCAGAAACGGCACATCCATACCCTAGTTTATTAATGCATTCAACACTAGTTTCCGTTGGGCAAATCGGGTAAAGGGGGACGGCCGTGTTCCATGGGCGTTCTCGCCAGCTCAATCTGAGATGATCCATCACGGCCTGAGGGCAGAGTTGCTTGAGTGCATTATTGTGCACGCCCAGAGGCAGAACGAACCAGCCTCCTAGACCAGGCAACACATTTACTGGTGGGCCACTGCACATCTACGTGCGACATCCCCTAGTGTCACCTGGCTCTCTTGGCCAGGGCCACTACTGTGCAACGAGATGCGACCTTAGACGTGTGTGTTTTCGTCGGCAAACTGAGTCGGGGGGTACGTCCCCACCTTAGTCACGCAGAATGGACATCTTCTACCCTCTTTGTTCGGAGAATGGTGGGTACAGTCTCGGAGCTTCGGAGTGTAATGAACCAGAGGGTTCAGATCAAATCCGCTAGCCAGTTGGCCCTGCCAGGGGTAAGCGGAGGTCACCCCAAGCACAGAAAACACAACGCCCTAGGGAGTCATCCGCTAGCCAGAGTCTGCCAGGAAGCAAGCGCTCATACCCTTCCATGGGAGGGAAGAGTAGCGGCGCACCCCCAGGGAGGAAGGGGTCAGGTGGTGGCTCCTCCCCCTCCTTGGATGGTCGTCCACCCTGGCAGTGGGGGTAGCATGTTTGAGGCTTACCTCTGTGACCGTGGGGACAGGCATGTGTTTGGCGAGTGGTCAGGTCACAACTTAGTGACTACCGCAGGCCCTGGGGAAACTCACCTCACGTGAGAAGAGAGCACCCGCCGAAACCATGGCCACATATCCCTGTCGTACACAGATTGCGCTGGTGTAGTCTGGTTTGGAGACAGCGGGTGACCGATCCCTGGACCTTTCCAGGTGGTGACATTCTGTAACGGGATACCGCTGAAATCTCCATTGCCCCTGTCAGTGTCTCCCCCCTATTGGGCACTGCCAGGGGACTCCCGCAAGGCGGAAGCAATCAGGCAGGAAGTAGCAGTTTGCTGGAAAAGGGCACCTACACAGGGTAGATTAGCCGGCATTAAGTCCAGGCTTCTACCCAAGTGTGTTCGTAGTACCAAATCTACAGGTGGCAGGCGTCCAGTTGTGGACCTAGGCAGACTGAGTCTGTATATGCTCTTCGATCGGTTCCGCATGAAGACATTTCGACTGGCTAGCCCCACTAGACTTAAGCAGGGCCTACCAGCACATACCAATGCACCCAGCAAGTTGCCATCCTTCGAATCGCCCAGCTGGGCCAAGTATTGAATTTTGAGTGCCCCCCGTTTGGGTTATAGACAACGCCCTACGTGCTCACCAGAGTGATGAAACGGGTAGTGCAGCTGCTTCACCAAATGTTGGTACACCTCAATCCTTACCTAGACGACTGGTTACTACACAACCCGGACAAGGGGTTATTAGCCAAACACGTCAGGCTAACACAGAATTTACTTCACCAGTTGGGCTCGTTAGTAAATTGTCAAGTCCCATCTCGACCCAATGCACAGTTGGTGTTCCTGGAGTTTGACACAGAGGTAAGCTTGGTATAGCTATTTCAAGCGTGTTGCTTAGCGCTAAGCAGCCTAGCCGAACGCCTAGTCAGCATTCCCTCAGTGTCCCTCCGAGAACTAATGCGGAGCATCGGATTGGTGACCTCGGTTCGAAGGGTGGTTCCCCAGGCCGCACTACGCAGTCACCCGGTATAACGCTTGCCGAGCTCTCCTATGGGGACTAGATAGGCGGGTTTTGTTTTCAAACCAAGTGAAGGAAGCCCTGGTGGTCGTCACTGGCCAACCTCGGCCCCCTTGGACCCACTCGCCGCAGGTATGACTCTGGTAACAGATGCCTCCCTCCAAGGTTGGGGAGCGCATCTATTGGACGAACAAGCCCTAGGATATGGCCCCCGCATTAGTTTCAGGACCACCATATCAACCGGCTCGAACTGAAAGCAGGAGCCTGGGCCAGGGTCGCTTTGCTAACCCTGTGAACCCACTTAGTTGGGTAGGCCTTTCCTCCCTTCCTGTTAGTTCGACGGGCACCGGAGAAAACTTCGACAGATGCACACCTGCATATTGTCATTGGTCGCACCCAATTGGCCATCCAAGGCCTAGTTTTCACTTCTGATGGAAATACTAGTCGAAACAATAGTAGTGCTTCCGGACTTACCGGACCTGCTGTCCCAATCGGACGGCGCACTACCAACGAGTCCAGCGAGTATCACTTACAGGCTCAGTAGACCCGCACATACGAAAGGTTTATCTGAGCGGGCTGCCAACATCCTGGCTAGGGCAAACAGGGATTCCACCAACGCTGCCTACATTTCTAGTTGCAAGCATACACTGATTGGCGTAGCAGAAGGGAGATTGATCCATACAATCCCCCTATTGGCCATGTAGCAGACTCCTTCGTCCACCTGTTTGACAAAGTGGGTTTGTCCTTCGCAGAGATCGTTGGATACAGGTCGGCCTTGTCCCCACCATTGAGAACACTTTGGGAACAAAACTAGCCGATTGTCCTATTATTAGGAGACTATTTACTGCTTTCCATAATCCGAGACCCCATACAAGGGAACCGCCCAACTGGGTTTTGACGGTTGTGTTGTCCACTCTAAGCGCACTGCCCTTTGAGCCTCTCCGATCAGCACCACTCAAATTTTTGACGTAGAAAATAGTCTTCCTACTGGCCCTTGCCTCAGGTAGGCGTTGGTAAAAACTGGGGGCATTGTCCTCCTCAGACGATGTACCGCCTCTTTATGGACAATCAAGTTGTGCTAAAGACACGAATCGGGCTTCTCGCCAAGAACCAAATTACAGGACACGATCCACAGTCGATAGTCATCCCCCGGCTGTCAAATTTTGTCGGCCAGGATGGTCAGGTCAATTGCTTCTCTGCCCGGTTCGAGCACTGAGTTGCTACAAAACCGTACTAGGGGTTCAAAACATGTTTTGCATACTGAAATCTGGTCACCATCTTTCCTTTTATACACCCACAGAACATTTATAGCTACCGATAATTTATTATTACATCAAACAATTTCAATTATGTGTCTAATGCCAATCTCTTTCAGAGACAGATGTTTAAATTTTGACAATTGCAACTATGCATTTCATTTCATTTTAATTTGGATCTTTAAAAACAGCAAGTTACATCAAGCACTACCTGACAAGAGAAGCCAAGAGAAGCCAAAAAAAGCCTTAGAGGGCACTGTTGAACATTTGCAATTTATTATAATGTCTGAGGTACAATACCTTACTTAAAAAATGTACTTGTATAAGATCACTACTATAAAACATCAAAATTACATCATGCATGTGACCTTGTGCATTGATACATTTATTCACTGCCTAACAGTGTTCTCCCCAGGGCTCTAAAGCATCACGGTTCTGTGATGCTCACAAATGCAGTGTACGTCGGGAAGATCTATCCCGATTTGCTGCACTGCATTTTTTTGCAGTTTTTACTACTCACTCGCCAGTGACACTAATTACCAAAAATTAAAAAAAAAACCAAGTGAAAACTGTAAATAGATCGAAGAAAAAGTGAACCCTGACCTCTGGAAAAACGCTGCCCTAAGGTGACATAATGCACGTTGTGACATGTCTCATGCATGCTGGGTTACAAGGAGGATTCTGATCGAGGTAACAAAGATGGTGGCGCAGAGTGCATTTTGTAAGTAGTAGTGTTGCTAGTGAACAATGAGCCTATGTCAGTTTTACAGCCGAACTAAATAATCCTTGGTTAACTAAGGAAATTTCCTGTGAGAAGAATGAACACTTTAATACGTAAAGTAATCATCAATGATTCTCACCATAACAGCATCTGTAGAACATTGCCTTTCAACTACTTTTGAGCTATTGGGCGATTTTAATAATAGGGTCCAACATTGTTAATAGCAAAAAGCAGTATCCAGCGAGTATGAATATGCCAGTATTCTGAGTAATTTCTAGTGATGTGTATTGTTAAAGAGCAAGCTTACCTGTAGGTTTAATATCCATGACCATTCTAGCACACATTGCACCATTAGGATTAACAATTATCTCAGAGATGGTTTCTTCCATTTCTCCCATATCACCATGTTCTTCTTCACTACCACCATGTCTTGCATGTCGTGAGTGTCCTGGTAGTTTGTATTTGGTGTAGGGTAATCTATGTGGATATGCCGGAAGTGGTTTCTTGTAACGATGAAGCAACTTTGGTGTTGTGTGTTTCTCTGAGATCAGTGGTGGTGCTGCAGTATTATTAGTGTTGGAAGAATTCAGTTTTATGGAATTAATGTCAGTCCCATTTATGCGTGGAGTCAAGACTGTGCTCGATGGTTCTGGTGCAGGTTCCTGTAGATCTGGCTTGGCTTCAGAGTTCATTGGTATATTATCTTCATCAATGGGCATTTTTCCTGGCTGCATTGGCATACTGTCGGAATCTGTGTTCTCCGGGGATGCCATTGGCATATCATCATCATCATCATCATCACCATGGTGTTTACCTCCTCCCATTGGCATATCGTCATCATGACTGTGCTGACCAACCATTGGCATATCATCATCATGGTGTTTACCTCCTCCCATTGGCATATCGTCATGACTGTGCTGACCCGCCATTGGCATATCATCATCATCATCATCATGGTGTTCACCTGCCCCCATTGGCATATCGTCATCATGACTGTGCTGACCAGCCATTGGCATATCATCGTCATTATGACCATGTTCACCTCCCATTGGCATATCATCATTATGTGCATGACCATGTCCATGTTCATTCGGCATTCCCTCTGGGTGAGAATCAGGTTCTCCCTCCGCCGATGACGAAGGCATGTCCCCATCACCACCATGGCTTTCTTCCATGTGCAGGACATGGTGCATTACATGATGAGTCATCACTGTGTAGATATCATCTCCCGATTTCAAAACTCCACCCAAGAATTCCATGACATGATTCCTCAGTTTAGCCAGGTCTTCCTCAGAAATATGGTTCATGACATCAGTCACTATCCGTTCATCTGACTCCGATAAAGCCTTGACTTGGTTTATCATTTTTATAGTCATGTTCATTTTTTGTTCATCAGTGGAATTCTGCATTTTCAGTCTCATTTTATCCATGTCTTCCTGGCCCATACCTAATACATTACTGTATTTGACACCTACAAAAACAAACCATGCATCATTAACAAATTTCTCAATGTTAGGCTACACTTCACAGAATGAATATTAGATCTATTATAATCTATTTCATTTCTTTCATTCACCGACTGTACACAATAACTATTCAGTTGATTGCAGTCAAACTAAAATAAATAATTACTCTCTGCATAAAAGTTCTATTATCGGATATATTTTGTTTGTAGTGAAGTAATATAATGCAACATATCAAATGCAACAATTTATGGTAATCACACAATATCTAGGTCAGATGTTTTTTTGGAAAATAGCTGATTATTACAGAGTAGTTTCATAAATTTGGTTGCATTTGACTTTTCAGCATGTTAGAGTGTCACCAACATGTCATGGGCTTCTTTAATAAAGCAAAATTCAATGTGAAGCATTCCTTGTAGGATTGTTTGTGATGAACACACATTCTCCTATACCTGTCTATTCAGGGCCAGGCCAGGGGGAGGTGTCTTATAAATTTAGATGATGATTCTTAACATTTGTAACAAACTTTGAACATGAACATTTCATACTTTTTAGGCTAGTTGTGTTGAACATGCTCCAAAGCATTGTATGACAGTATTTTAGGTTATCCAGATAAATAAAGTAGCCCCTAGGCAACAAGTTCTGACACACATAACTTGCGAAGACCACAACTACTCAATTAACCACAATGTTAAAGATTTCAACAAAGTTTAGCGGTTTTTACAACTTCAAATCCTTGGAAGCATGCACAGAAATGGCGTCTGTTTGCCACAAAAGATGATCACCAAACCATTATTCAGATGCAAGACAGTGATGGTTTACTTACTATACATATGTTTGACAGAATTCTCCTGCACAACCCTGATAGGATTTCTAATTGTATTACGATTCATTAATAACATTTCACTTATGAACTCTGCTTCAGGTACATCACAGTCTTGTTCATGGATATCTGGATCACTGTCTTTATCATCGTCGTCATTTTCTTCAGCCTCTTCTTTGCCCCCATGTCTTCGTACTCTCCCGATAGAGTCCTTCTAAATAGTAAATGTAAATTGGACTATTATGCATGTACATTAATGCCTTACAGATGTTTTATGTGATGCGTCAAACCTCTGTCACATACCACATTTGCAGAACAAAACAAACACTGTCTGCTCCACAACTGGAGACATTTTATTATTTTCTAGGCTAGATTGTGTGATTTTTAGCAATGATTACCGGTAGATACAAATTATTAATGTGACAATTTAGTTTTGATCATTTTAGCAACAGAAATAGATTGTGACTACTGTCCACCTAGTTTGACATGTGGCGCCCTCACCGGTCGAACGGCATCAGACCCTACCAATGCCTGACAGAATAGTGCATGTCTCGTCAAAGTTCACGCCTCCTTGCATTGACTTTCAATGAATATTCATTTTCGTGGTCATGTTAACACTGTCAATCAAAGCCATGTTTGTATTGTTGACAAAAATCAGTTTTCAACAAGATGATAAACAATAGGCAAAAATTTGCCAGCACCTTATCGTACATTATGTCAGCAAACAAATAAACTCTGCTGTGAATTGTTACTCTTTGATGGCTGTCACTATCTGATGTTCAAAGTATCGTCGGGAGGTGACATCATTCTGTCAGGCGTGTGTTGCATTTGAAGCACCACAGAGGGCGCAAATCACTTGACCTTGTCAGGCTACCGTTCATCCTAACAAAAAAGAAATTTTGTATGCTTCTGTTGCAATTTGAATAATAAGGAAAATCAATACATACCAACTCATAGTCAATAATGTTGCCTTGACGACCTTGTACCCAAAACAAAAATGCATCTTTGTGATTACCAGTTTGCAAAGTCAAGGGTGAAGACCATGTACTTTTGGATGACTTGAGATTCCACAAAATATCACCATTTTCACCATCAAGGACAACATGCTGATAACAAATGAAGAAAGGATTATACAGTGAAACAGATGTGACCTGATATCATTATTGTTATCTTTCTGCATACATTCTAGATTTCAGACTGAATCAGATTTCAGAGTGATTTTCTTTAGTCCCTTATATGTTCAGTTAACTGTAATTACATGTAAATTGAAGAACTTTTCATGTAAGATATGCAAAAATACTATAGGAATGCTACTCGAAAATATATATATACTGATATTTATAATGCAAATACAACAACTCATTTTGGTACCAATTTGTTTTCTCAAAGAATTAATCAATGCATGTATTGCGAACAAAGTTGAAAATGTTACTTTTGAAAACTGATAAATTTATCAATTTTCTAATCTCAAAAAAAAAATTTATAAATTTATTTTAGATAATAAGCATGATTAGCATAGTGAAAAAATGAACTTTTTAGGAGCACTTTGTCAAAAAAAAACTAAATATACATTTTTATAATGATAGAGTTGAGTGACAAACTTGCCATCATGACAGCATCATAGAATGAATGAGCTATGTATCCAAATGGCAACGGGACCCAGTAAAATGTAAGCAGTATAACAGAATTCATCCAAAGTTTAACATTTATAAATGTGACTTTGGTATATTAACACTACACTTTGTTGCATGCTTGACAATGGTTGGATGCTCAGAAATCCCCAGTATACATGCTTAGAATGAAAGAGATTCTTACCATAGTTAGATTATACACTGGGTATTTACCATAACTCATAGAAATCATGAGATCCAAAACATCATCATCATTAAAATATCCTAGAGCTGGAGTGCTGGAAAAGAAAATATAGTACAGCATTTTTTACCTTTTTCACCATGGTAACCAATTGCACTGGTGATTTATTTCATTTTAAAGTGTTGTTCACACTTTTTCTTAAATCTTGCTCAACTAGTAAACTAACATTGAAATTGTATTCTATGACGTTCATGATTGTATACAATAGAGAAATAAAGTATTTCATGCATTCTGATTCTGATTCTTTTCAAAGCACCCCAATCAGATACATTGCCATGCTGTGAGATTTGCAGACTGAAATCTGGTCATTGTCAGTTGTTACTTTTATACACCAGGAACCATGGTTTAAAGTTATATTGTCTTCTATATTTTGGTAGGAGCCCTTGGAAGATTTTTTAGCATTGTGATTACAGATTTGATTTTTTTGATAAAAAATTCAAAGGTAAATAACAAATTTAAATCCCAATTGTTTTTCGTTGTTGGGTTTACAAAAAACACCTTTGTATTTTTAGTAACAAACATGACAGCAATGTTCCTAGGAATATTGCCAAGGGAATCTATCTTCATGAATACCATTTCCTCCGTCAAACACAATTAAAAAAAACATAGCAGACGAAACTTTTCAGAAAAAATATTGAGGTCAGCTTACGTATAGAACTGTAGTCCTTGAAATCTAGAATCTGTTGTCCAGATTATTTCCAGTGTTTGCCCATCCAGTACTGTAACAGTGGCATCAAATAAAGATACTATAATATCATCTATGCCATCATTATTCATATCAGCAATTACTACAGGCACCATTACACCAGAATTGGTCTCACTTCTACAATACATATAGTAAAGATGCAAACACAAGCTTTGTTTTCAGTGGAATTTTTTTTTTTTAATAAATTAAAATTTTTATTGAATCCATTGAAATTCATATTTCTTTTAGTTAATAGCGATATAATAATAAATGAAAATTTGTGAAATAGAACAAAATGTCAATATTACAAATCAATTCTTAAAAGAACTGTAAATAAAATACTCCAATAGTATTCAATAAGTGTATTGTCACTACTTTTCATTAAATGAATTTCTGTAGATTAGTGTGATACATCGCGCTGAGACTAATTTTTTAAAAGCTAGGTCAATTACATAAACTCATACTCTTCTATTTTGTATATTACTTTTTATCACCTTTGACATAATAAACTTGCTCCATTTCTATATAATCATTGAAAATGACACAGTAGACTTTTGTACTTTGAAACTACAGAGGATATTGGAATATGTATTTCTACTAACTTACACGTACAGAAAACCTATATCCAGGCACTCAAAATTAACAGTAGCCCAAGGTGCCCAGACTAACATTTTTTTCCTGTGGCTACCACTTTTCAAAATTAGTAGCCAATCTAAAAATTTACAAAAAATATTTAGTACTTTTTTTTTTAAATAAAGCAATTAGCTTTCAAAGCCATGAATGTCTTATTTCTATTCAAACTTTTCTACATGGCTCTAAGTACCTTAAAAAGCAGATGGAATGCCATATATTACCAAGAAACTATTAACAGTTTTTAAAACTGGTATAAACCCAGCAGACTTCCAAGAAATTTTGTAAATTTTTGGTCCTTTATATATTACAGTTTAACTCGAGCCAGGAAATTGAAATCAGGCACATTATTTTAAATCTAAACTAGAATCAAAGAAAGCTTAGAAAGAACTCCCATGTGCTGAGAGTATTGGAGACACATTAAATATAATTCGAAATTACTTAGCTGAAAACTAATTATGCAAATCAGAAAATTAATATGACCAGATTTGAGTGTAAAACTAATGAGGTCTGCGCAATGTAACAGAACCAAAAAATTATGAATTATTATGCTTATTAGGGAATTAATATGAACAGATTTTTACCCCAAACTAATTAGGTTTGTACATTGTCCTAGAGCATCTTTGTACTAAGTTTCATTGAAATGGAATAATTAACACCGCGAAAACTCCAAAATTTCGACCCCTCTAAAAATTTGACCGCCTATTTATTTGCCGGGTTTCGGTGTTTTATTTACCTCCAAATTTTCGACTCCACTAAAAATTGCCGACTCATTCTTATTCGAAAATTGCGACCAGTTTTAGTTTTCCCCCAAACGAAAAAAAAACCGATGTGAGCGTTCAAACGGGACCTTCCTCAAAGGCATGAATCCGGGTTTCTGATTGACTGAGAGATTTTTATTTTATTGGTAACGAAAATATATTCTAAATAAACGAAGTTTCAAA